GAACTTCTTGTCCCCCTCAATATMTTTTTTTAATCTCTCCACTTCACTCAGCCTTCTGAACTTCATCTTGCTATCCTCTTTATTTTGCATGTAGGCTTTTAGGTCATTCGGGTTCTTTAGCTTGCACCCCAACTTTTTCACAAACTCTGCAAYAGACTCTTCCCCAAAAGTTTCCTCTTTCCCTAAAGAAGCACTCTCCTCACTCCTAGGAAGCTTCTTGTTCCTTCTCACTTTACCTCCGACCACAACCATGTCTGTCCCCTCCAAGCTCCCTCTCTGCAAATTCTTCCTTTCCACTTCGCCCAAGAGGCTTTCTAAGATTTCCCTAATTATTGTCTCTCTGCATGATTCCTCACCCACTTCCCCCCCTTGTAGACTCAATGTGGCTTTCAGACTAGGGGCTTCCGACTCTTGGTTGGGAAGAGAATCTGGTACAAGAGATACAGAGCGCTCATCAATATCCAAAACTGAATTGACAGAGTTGAGGGATTTACCTGAGGTAGTCACTTTCTTTTTTGGGAAAACATAGCACTCTGTCTCCCAGAGATGGGGGAGGGAAATCCCTGTCGCCGTATCAACACAAAGACCCCTTTATGTACCCAAGTATGTACCTCTCTGTGAAGTACCCTTGTTCTGCTCTGAGAAGACCCGAGCAACCTCCTTTTCGGCCTCTTGCAAAGCACTAGAATTGAGGGGGGGCTCAGCCAGTAATGGGTTAAAATCAAACACCCGCTCCTCCCCCTCCACCTTTCCTTCYCCCACCGAATCCCCTAAGAACAAACAGTCCAAGCTAAAAGAATCGTTGTTCTGATCTTTAAGTAGAGCTTCAACTGCCGCACTGCTTGAACTCCCACAGTCGTCTGAACTATCAACATGATCAGAATCTGAACCGCAGCTCAACCAGCCTTGATCAGCATCTTCTTTCTCTTCTGGTCTGCCTCTCGAATAGCGTGGGTTCGGGCGATCAGAAAGGTTGTGATTTTGCTTGTCGTCGGCTGCTCGTCGGACCCAGCACAGAGGCCGGCGCTCTCTAGCCTTGTTCGTAGAATTCGCCCCTCCACAGTCGAGAGGGCGAGACTTAGACGCCTGCCCCGCCCCACGTGATGACTTAAGTTGTCATGTGGGCTTTTAAATCCGCAAGGAAGTTCACCCACTGGCCCGACCAGCTCGACCATTCTTAGAGCCAGTTCGGGAAGAGATTTAGCGCGCGAACCGCTCTTTCCCAACTTAGCCACGTCAGCATAGGACGAGCCACCCTCTTTACACAACCCTTCTTCAAAAAATTTTGAAAAAGAAGCCAAAATAGGAAGGCTTTGAGTCTTGGAACACCCCTGCCACTRTTCCCCTTCCTCTGTAAAACGCCCACACTCAACAGACTTACCCGCCAGCCCCTGAAGGCCACGTGTACACCCCCTGCGAGCTTGTCAGAATCTTCAACCTCTGGTCGTCTTCCCCAAAGCAAAGCTTCAACTTTTGAAACTAGCCAGACCTTGTGCCAAGCTTCTTCTGAGAGGACTTCGAAGATCCGCGGCAAGTTGTCCGGATTGATCCCAGCAACCTTAAGTTCCACCGCTCTCAAGTTGCTTAAGTTAGCCTCCAACAGAACTCCACCCATTGCTCTAGCAATTTTCCCCAGAATAAGGTCATTCCAAAGGTTGAAGGGAAGACCAAGAAGTTTAATCCAAAAGCTGCCGGCTCTGGGTTCAACTTCGTTGCAATCTGGAGCCCAATTCTGGACCTTAATCAGGCTTCCTTCTACAAGGAAAGAATTGAAGAACAAAGTCTTACTTCCAATATCTAGTAGGGCTTTCTTTTCAGCAAAAGGTAGCAACAAAATATCTTCCTCTGATCCCAACCTCTTTGTTAAAACTTCTAAAACTTTCGTCCAATCTTCTATCACCCTTTCTGCCACTAAAACCACCATCTTCTCCCAACTCCCTCTCCCTTCTTCCACTGCTACTCGTCGGATGACAGACGAGCTGGACACCAAAACTTCAGGGTGAAGCTTTGGGCGGAAGATTAGAAGCGAAAGAAGCCCACCCTCTTCGCTTCAGACCTTTTGGAATACACATCACTTGCTTTTTGTTAAAACCAAAGAGTTCGGTGACCATAATGAACCACCCTTTTCCATTCATTTTTAGCACAGCTTCGAACTTCTTGTTCTCACAGGTCAACGAGTTTCTCCAACCTTTTTCTCGAAAGGAATTTACAGCTCCATCTACAAAGCCTTTCAACCACACACAGGCCTCCTCTGTTAGAAGAATCGATGCCCTGCTCCCTTCTCTGATTTTCAATAGAGCCTTCCCCTTTGTCCTTCCCTGCTCAAAGAGGATAGATTTTGCTTCAATGGACAAATCCAGTCTCCATTTCCCCGCCAGCTTGAACTTCTTCTCCTCTCCCATGCCTAACCTGCCCTAAAAAAATCTCACCATTTTAACCATTGTTTGCATCCATCTTCGTCAATTTTGCCTTTTCCTTATTGCATCTCTAAAATGTAAGTCCTGAATTTTTAAAAATAGAGAGAGAGAGAGAGAGGAAAAAAGATAGGAAAAGTTTAAAACTTAGGCTTTGGAGATGCAAAGAAAAAGAGAGCAAAACGAACTCATAAAAGCTCAAAGCTAACAGAGTGTTAAATTTTTATAGTGGGAAGCAAAATGCTGGAATCTAAAAGTACTGTCTCAAATGAAAGTTTAGAGATCTAAGTATCACTACCCCCAAAGTACATGATAGCTCTCTGAACACCTCCTGAGATAGCAATTGTTTTTGTTTCCGAAAACAAAATCATGAGATGATGTGGCCTTAACATGGCATGGCGGTTGTTCTTGTTATAGAAGGCAAAACAAATCATACTGGACAATACCTCTTGAGAGCTGTTCATAGATGGTTGACCCTCTGGGTAGACTAAGATATCAACATTTCAACCCTTAATTTGGAGTTTTATTATAATGACTCACAATACTTCTCTTTTCTTTTTTTCTTTCTTTTTCTTTGTCCATAAAGGTGGACACCGTCAAAGAGAATGTTTTAAAACCCCCAAACCAAAGCTTGAACTGCTTTTCCTTCCAAGTGAACGAATCACCAGTTTAACATTCCAGGTCGATGGGTAAATCTGTAGCATTGTAATAACAAAAAAAAAATTCAAAAACTTTATTAGAAAAAACAGTAACCTGATGAATGGATCAATGGTTTAACCATCCAGTCAACGGAACCAAAATCTTGTCCAGGTTTGTGCATGACAACCTCTAAACAGATAATGTATACTTATTTCAACTTAAAGTACCAAACGTCTTTGTCGATTATTTCTGCTCCAGCCCAGAAATTTCCGTGGGAGCACCTGGGAAAGAAGGTTTTCTTTCGTTCCGAGCCCATATAATGGGAGATCGGATCTATTCCTCACACCAACCTCACAACAAGTTTCAGCCGTGCATCTGAATCATCTCCGTAATTGTAAATTTTTACTAATGGGCAGATGTTTTAGATGCACAGTTAAAACGTGCTGTGAGGTCGGGGTGAGATGCGCTCTATGATGAACGGATCCGAGGCCCTAAAAGGAGGAACAGATCCGAGGCCCTAAAAAGAGGTGGTGATGGGGCATCTTTCTTTCTCAGAGACCCTACCTCGACCTCATGCAAAGATGCTCCCCCTCAACCCTCGTAAGCTGTTTTGTCTTTTTTATGGAACCGAGAGAACTGTCACCTTCACGTATCTTATTCCATTACATTTCAGAGATTTCAAAAATAAAAAGATCAATCAAAAAGCTCGGTTCTGAAGATGCATAATTTGATCGGCAATATAAAATCTGGGTCATGAATCATCATGATTATTTTGCAGCAAGATCATTCGGGAAGACAAAAGATAACCTGAGCTTGTTGAAAGTTCAGGTTTGGGACTAGCTTTCCTTTAAATTTCTTCTTTTCTCCCCAAGGTTAGCTCTAACGACTTTTGTTGCTAACCAAGGAGAGAATTAGAATGAAGATAGTTGCAAGCTATTTATGTATGCTCATACTTTGAGATGGTCCGAAGATGTTAGTGATATGATAGAAAACGATTAGCAAAGCCAATTGAGGAAATTGCCAGTATGCATGTATACTATCAACTGATATACATTTAACTAGATGTAGTCGATATGTGGTTTATACACAGACTAAAAATATATTTACATATCTAAGACATCAAATATAGCCAGGTGTACAGACCTCAAGTGTCCATAACAGTCATCGCTGCTGTTGAAGCTCTCCAAACAGACCCAGCAGATGTGAACCCCACACCTGCATGCAATGTGGTTGCACCCATCCACCTTCTCTATCGTGTACCCGCAGATGGGGCACTGCTTTACCTGCTCCTTCCCCTTGGCCCACTCCTTCAGTGACAAATCTGGATCCTCTTTGAACATCTTGTACATCTCGCATGAAACATAGGGATGGTATTCCAAGTGACATCTGGTGCATGTTTCTACATGGCATGCTCCACAGGAAAATAACCCACCAGAAGTCCCAGGTTCCGCAACTTTATATACTGCAGGACAGTCGGGAGATGGACAAAACCTGTAAGTTCCACCACTTGACGCCACAAACGCTCCTAATGAAGCTCTGAATAGCTCTTCCAGCTTCTCACTTGACAGAAGATGCCTCAAGTCTGCAATCAAGATAGGGGCTTTACACCCCTCGTAAGTACAGAGTAGTGGGAACCCATCATGGCTTTTGATGGCCGATTCACACTGATCCACCAAGCACAACCTGCAGAACCTATGTGCACAGGCTTCCAGCTGGAAGCAATCTTCCACCTCACACAAGCAAATGGAACAGGTGTCCTCTCCACTGAGCTGCTGACCCAGCCCACCACTTCTAAGAGGTAGGGCAGTCTCGTAAATTATCTCTTCAACTTTCTGCTTCAAATCTTTCTTTCCCTTGACAGAGATGACATGACGACGAGTGTTCAGTGTCAGCTCAACCCCCGGCACCTTCTCCTTGAGTCCATGCAGGTCTGGCCCAAATTTCCTAACCACTTCTTTCATCAGATCATGTGGCAGGTCTCCACTTCGGAGGTGGATTTCAAGTTGTTTGTTTTCATGCAGAGTCAAAAGGGATTGCACCAATCTCTGCTCAGCAACAGCAATTTTGTCCTCTGAACCAAATATTTTGACATTCATGTTCTGCCTATCATACAGAATGTGTGTCTCTGTTTCTCGCTGCAGTGACTTGATGAGCATGATCCCATCACGGGATAAAAGAAGCTGCAATATACTTGGAGAGAGGGTAGCATCATTTATGGTCTTCCCTTTCATCAGCTGCTCCAGAGGCTTCCTCAACTCAGCCACAGTCTTTGTAGCATTGGCAGATATTTTCACCCTATAGGAGCCGTTTTCATTCTTTTCCAGATTACAGGTCGCACCTGTCCGTAAAGTCAAGTAAGCTCTTTCAGATAATAATTACATCAGAATAAAACTATCTAGTCTGCAGCATGCGACTCAGGGTTTTAAGGCTAATGGTCAACATAGAAGATAGAACTTCCAAATCATGACGCCAACAAGTTAAGGTTTCATAAAGAGAACATTATGGAGTTATCCCCTTTTTATTTTCATGGGCCACCAAGTTAAGTTTCCATCTGAAGTCGAAAAGCTTCAAAACTCATTGCCTGTTTTTAAACAAATTGTATTTTCAAAATTTAGCCTGGCACTAAACAGATAATCATTTTGATCCAGCAAAGCAATATCAGAAAAGAAGATATCATGGAAACTATGATATGCAGTAAAATGGCAGAAATTTTGCTAAGAAGCACATACAAATAATAAACATTAGAACTTTTCGTATGATTGGGTGCTGCATGAACAGTATTAAGGTGTGGCCAGCATCATGCCAAGAGTTCTAACCAATATTAATAAATGAAGTCAGTTTCAAGCTTTATTAACTGCCAACCTTCATATAATAAAACAGACAAACTAAGACTCCACGCGATAAATGTTACAAGTAGGATAAATCTACCAGAATCTGTCCTTCAACCTCTTCTACAATAACCCTTTTAAATATGTTTTTTTATCAGTAACGCATAATGAAACTGTCTAGAATTCCTGCCCTTGTGCAATCGTCAATACCAGGACTGCAGTAGACACTAAAAAAAGCCAGATCGGACAATAAATAGAAATAAATTATACTCTCAAAAGAAACAGAAACAAACTCCATACAAGAGATCCCCCGCCCCCCACACACACACACCAAAAATATAAAAAATAAAAAATAAAAAGATCTAGAAAGAGTAACAGCTACTTTGTTATCTGACCAGTTCATACTTTATAGAGTTAAAAGGGTTATCTGTTTCCGTATAAACATTGAAACCCTAAAAATGCAATAATGCCCCTTCAGAATTCCTAAGCCAACACAACTAGTCCATTGGAAATCTTAAACTCCTTAATCAGCTTATCCCTTTAAAATTTATGACATAATCAGTTCACTCATTGAAATTCCAACTGCACCACATAATCCTACTATATTACATGCTACATTCTCACAAAATGCCAACAGGTACTAAGATAACACATTTTCTTGGTTGCTTTTCTAGTCAAAACAGGCATAATTATCAAGAATGTATGGCAACTAACCTTTTTCCTAAAAGAAGGTAACAGAAAGAAAAGGCAAGAGGTATATGAGAGGATGCAAAATGGTGCACAATAGCAAGCAGCTTCCCCTGGCAACAAAAACCTATGAGGGGATGGAGCTGCCAGTATGCAAAATCTATTATGGTATTCACCTCCCTAGGAATCCATATAACCTGAACACCCAAGCTTGCCAAACTTTGTCTGAATCCATTGAGGCAGTGATACATATATATATTGATCAATAACTGCAAATTCATTAGAATTAAGAAATATGTGTACAGAAAAATACAAGGATTGGGAGATAAACTCTCTTATTTCCCCCCAAAATTACAGTTGTGCCCAGAACATATTTTCTCTTCCCACCCCTTGCTTTGACAATACATCAGCGAAGTAATTTGCATTTATCTTGACCCATTGTATTCTTACTTCTATTTCTTTGGTCAACAAATTAAACTTTTTTCTTTTCCCTGTTGTAGTGCCACAGCTTCATTTCTTTACTCATTAACCATCCCACTACCAGCTTTGAATCTCCTTCAATAATTTGTTTTCTGATATTCAGCAGTCTTGCCCTTTGTACTTCCTCTATCATAGCCATAACCTCTGCCCTGAGAAAATCCCCCATGCCAGCTGGACCTGAGAACAAGGCTCTAATCTTCCCCTCCTCATCTCTGAACACCCCACCAATTCCTGACAAACCAGGATTCCCTATACTGTTACCATCAAAGTTAAGTTTGACGAATGTTGCATCCAGTGGAGACCACAATGGACTGGTGGGGTTCTTTCTGAGGGCAGATTCCGCAACTTCCTTCCAGTTCCTATGTAGATCATCTGTTGTGATAGAAGAGAATAGTTCCAATAATTTTAGCCAATGTATAGTTCTAATTGTGACAGATTCAATCAAAGCCTCCCTACTTCTTTCCTTCCCTGAGAAAATTCTTGAGTTTCTTTCCTCCCAAACTGTCCACAATATAGCTACCCTTCCACATCTCCACATGATTTTTTTTTGAGCAAAGGTAACTTTTATTGAAGAAGAAAAATCAGAAGTACATGAGAGGATGTACTGAAGCCAAGAATGGCTTGGCAGGATTACAAAGGCAAACAACTGTCACTAAACAAGAAATCTCTAGAGACCCCTGATTTTGCTAGGATATCAGCAACAGAATTTTGCTCTGTAGGAATCCAGACCAACTTCACATTCATAGAGCCTAACATATCCCTGGCTTCAGCTAAGAAGTAGGCTAGTCTCCAGGGCCCTCCCTTCTCCTGTAACCAAGCTATAGTATTTGCAGAATCCCCTTTAATGGTTAAGAAGGATAAACCTAGCCGTTTGGCAAGGCGAACCCCTGTGAGTGCAGCCAATACCTCTGCCTTTGTGGCATCAGCCCTCCCAATCGGACCACTGTAAGCCCAGCAAATATTCCCCCTTTCCCCTCGTATTACACCTCTAATTCCTGTTTGACCTGTGGATCCTTGGGCGCTACCATCAAAGTTTAGAGTCATTTCTCCTTCTTCTCTACGAGCCTATCTCATAGTCCACTCAGGTCTTGGAGAGGAGTGTAGAATTTCTGGAAGGATTCTCTGAAGGTCATTTAGGGAGAGACCTTTGAACACTTAAGAGTTGATTACCCAAAGGTTACAGAGATGTGTGATGTAGGATGATAGATCTTCAACATTTCTAGCTTCATTTTCAAAAGTTCTATTGTTCCTTTCTTCCCAAATGCCCCACAAGACTGCATGGGTCACTGTATTCCAGTAAAATCTTCCTCTTTTCCTAGCCCTCTGCCTTGCCATTGCCACAAGATGTCCACCACCCTCTCCGGGAACACCCAGCTATAACCAACTAGGTTTAGGAAGAAGTACCAAATCTTTCTAGTGATCGGGCAGTGGAGAAGGATGTGATCAGTTGTCTCCCCGTTGCCAAGACAAAGAGGACAGACATGAGGGGAGATGCATAATCTGCCTTTAAACTTTTTCTGAAGCAATTTGCAGGTGTTTATTTTCTTTAAACAAACTTCCCACACAAAGAAAGAGACTCTATGGGGGATGTGTGATCTCCAGACTTCTTAGCCGGAAAAGGAGGCCTCTGATCTTCTGACACTAGAGCCTTGAAAAAGGAGTTAGTGGAGAACTTGCTAGCAGGATTAAGTTTCCAGATTCTCTGGTCAGGGATAGCAAGAGAGATGTAAACCTCATTAAGAGAGTTTAGCAAACTAGTTGTATCAGCAATTTCTATTTCTCTTAAAGGCCTTCCGAGGTTTAGGTTCCAAGTTACTCCCAAGGGTGAGGGGTTGAGACTAGAGGCTACCGTGGCTTCTTTTGCTTGGGACAGCTTAAAGATTCTAGGATAGGAGTTAGCAAGGGTGTCCTCTCCCCACCACAAGTCGGTCCAAAATTTGATTCTATTTCCGTTCCCCACCTGATATCTAACAGAATCAAAAAAGAGGTCATAGATAGAAGTAATACCTTTCCAAGGGTTAGAAGCTTTGATCCGGTTCAAGTGGACCTTGCTATCCCAACCGTTGGCATGTCTCTCGTACTTGCTCTTGATTGTCCACAACGCTTCCATCTCCAAGGGATACCTCCAAAGCCATTTTCCAAGAATGACCAAATTCCTTTCTTTGATATGACCTAGTCCCAAACCACCAACTTCCTTTGGCTTGCAAACCTGATTCTAGCCTACTAGATGCCACTTGTTTTCACCACCCCCTTCCCATAGGAAATCCCGTTGTAGTTTTTCAATCTTGCTTTTTACTCTGCCTGGGATTCGAAAAATCGACAAAAAGTAGGTTGGCAAGGGAAGCCTTAATTAGTGTAAGTCTTCCACCTTTTGAAAGAAAGCTTTTCTTCCACATGGCCAATCTTTTCACATTTTTCCACTACCAGGTCCCAAAAACTTTGACTTCTCGGGTTCCCACCAAGAGGCATTCCTAAATAGGCAATGGGGAGACTCTCCAACTTACACCCCAACAGCTCCCTAAACCTATCCAAGAGTGGGTCACCAACATTTAGGCCCACAATGCTGCTTTTAGAGTAATTAATTCCGAGTCCAGTCACCATCTCAAAACTATTTAACACTCTTTTTAAGTTGGAAATCTTCTCCCAATCCGCCTCCAAGAAAAGTATGATGTCATCTGCAAACATCAAGTGAGAAACTGGGACTGTCTCCCTACCTATCTCAAATCCTTTCAGCAAATTTAACTCCCTCGCTTCTTGTATCAAGTAACTAAGAACATCCGCCACCAAAGTGAAGAGTAGTGGGGAGAGAGGGCACCCTTGTCTCAAGCCCCTGTTTGCATTAAAGTATCCAATAGGTTCACCATTAATCAGGACTGAAAACCAAGCAGAGCTTATGCACCCTTTTATCCATCTCATCCACCTTCTACCGAAACCTCTCAGACTTAGAATCTCTAACAAACAATCTCAATCCACTTTGTCATAGGCCTTTTCAAGGTCCAACTTGATTACCACCCCTAGCTTGCCACTTTGTCTTCTTTCTTCTACAAATTCATTGGCCACTAGAATGTTGTCAATAATCTGTCTTCCTTGCACAAAAGCGAATTGGTTGCTTGAAATTAGATCATTCAGCACCACCTTTAGCCTTGTCGCCAACACTTTCGCTACTATTTTGTATAAGCTTCCCACCAAACTAATAGGTCTGAAATCCTTAACTTCTAAGGATCCCTCTTTATTTGGCACTAGGGTGATGAAAGTTGAGTTGTTTCCTTTGTTCACAATGGCTGATAGGTAGAAATCTGCAAACACCTCCACTAGATCAGACTTGATTGTGTCCCAGCATAGT